CTTTAGCATAAGGTTTCCACTGAACCTTGTTTTTGCTTGTGGGACTTGTTTATGCTCATTTGTGTTGCTTTCATCCATGGACCAAGAGGATTAACTTCACTTATTCCATGGCTGGGCGGAATTTATTTGGAGTAGTGTTCCTCATTGTGTCCTATTAGACCATATTAGAAGCAGAACATAAGTAATCTTTCATAGCGGAAATCTGTCCAGTTAACTCCATTGTTTTTATACCAATATACATTCTCGAATATGATTGGTGTATTTATCTTCATATTAACTTTGGTTTTGACAATTATAGTTTTATTCGGCATTTTATATACACTAGTTTCTAGGACTTCCCCCATCATTTCTCCTATTTTTCTACCCATATGATTAGTTTTTCCATTTACGGATATCCCCCAGATTTGAACCCATATGCGTGCTTTGGAGAAGTCCATGTTGGAAACTAATTTTTTCCCATCCCATTCCTGCAGGATCAACCATAAATTTCAGAATGTCCATGAGCTTCCTTTCATAATATGAATGTGATCATCCATGTTGTCAATTGATATTTGGAATAGGTATGTGTCAATTTCTTTAACTACTATATTTCTAGGGTTACACCATATGTTTGCTAGTTTTGATTGCATGAAGCTTTTGTGTATGGACTTATTTATGATAATCTTTCTCATTATACTAATCATTTATTTTGTTTGCAGTTCTTGAACCTCTTATTCTTCATACACATGAAGCTTAGAGATTTAGAGTTTGAGAGATGGATTTGTGCTGCCACTGAGCTTGTGAATTCAATTGTCTCATTTTGCGGGATAGTCAAAAGAGGAATGCTTTGTTGGGCTTCATTATTTATAATCACCCTTTTCCTTTTCTTGAATTGTAATCCTTTTGTTCTTTGAAAATCCTATTATGGGTAAAGCATCCACCAGAATAAAGGTTGTTGTATTGAGCTCATCGAGGTTGTTTGTTTTGTAAGTTTGATCCATTGGGGGGTGAAGGAAGGGAATGAACCACTGTAGGAAAACTAAAAATAAAGACGAAGAAAACACAGAAGTGGAAGGATAACATAATAAAGGATGAGGTCGGAGAGCGAGAAGTGCAAAGGACATAAAGAAAATATGGGTAAGAAAGTTGTAGCAGGAAAATCAATTCTACAATAGAGGCGAAAGAGCGGGGGAAAAATATAACGAAGCAGAGGAAAGAAAATGACATGGAATCAAAGATAATAATGAAAGATCATCATGGGCAAGAAAGATGCAGCTGGAATAGCAATTATACAACAAAGGCGAAAGGGTGAACGGAGCAAGGGAAAAAAAAGACCTGGAATCAAAGATAACAATGAAAGACCAGAGCTCCAAAAAAGGGAAACACAGACTGTGTAACACCTAACCAGGGAGACACACGAGAGTCGACAAGGGAGCAAACCAAGAGAGAGATAGAGGATGGAGAAGAAGAGTGATCAAAGAGTTTTTAAGCTTTTTTGGTTTTCTTGCTTCATGCTTCCCATTCTTTGAGCGAACATTAGGAAATCTTTTATAAATAGTTAATTACTCATTAAAAATTTATGATATATTGACTGAGTTAATTTGACTTTATCTAGTATTATAAAATATTTATAAAAAATAATATATGTTAAAATTATTAGTAATTAATTGTTATGTTAATATTTTTTTTTTTTGTCAAAGTTTGAATAAATATGTGTTTTGCCTTTTTGAAAAGTGAATGTGAATATTTAGACATGCCACTTAGAAAATATATTTGACGTGACGAAATTTGGATGATATTAACGATGAGGTGTGGGCGTTTCACATTCGAATAACTCAAATTTTATATAACTAATCATTATAGTTAACATTAAGATCTAAGATAAACCTCTTCATTTTGCATTGACTTTATAGTTTAAAAAACAAATATGATTGTTGAATGTGTATTTATGATTGTTAATGTGCCACAAAAGAATATGAGTGATGCAACATAAATGGATGTGACATGTTATCGTGAGGATACGAGCTTCTCATTTAATATATTATAAATAATGTTTTATAAGTTTTATGAAAATAATATATGATATAGGAAGGATTTTTAAGCCATCTGAATTTGTTTCAATTTGTAATTTTATTTTTGTTTTGGATTAAAATCTTATTATGGTTTCTTCACTTTTGTATTTAAACACTTTTGGCGTGAGTCAAAGATCATCTTTTGATATAATAAAATTCAATATTTTTTTCATTTAGTAGATTCCAAAGTTTATTTGACAGGTTTTGCGCTTGCAATCCTATGTTCTCATTCTAGTTTTAGCATTTGCTAATCCATAATGTTTCTGACTGTGTCAGATGACATAAAAGCAGGTTTCTCAAGTTTCTTTTTGTAATTTGATCAACCATGGGAGATCAACTGATAATTAGAACAGATTTTAAGATAATTATCGTAGCTTTTACCGCGGCTCTAACTACTTTGATAAAAAAATGGAAATTTTAACAAATCATGTGAACAACACTAACAACAACGGGAATCAGCAAATAGAAGGGAGAGGAGAAAATGTTAGATTTCCGCGAAGAAGAAACAATCATCATACTGTTATTACAGAAAATTCGAGTTCTGGAGAAGAAGAACCTTACAAGGAATAGGTAGTTGATCATGAGAATCGATATTACCATGATTATCGAGTGAAAGCTGATATTTCATTATTTTTAAACGATGAGAGTGGAGGAGTTTTTGAATTGGAAAATCGACGTCGACAAGTTATTCGATATTATGGGTGTCTTTGAGAACAAGCAAGTTAAGACGGTGGCAATCAGACTAAAGAGTACAATTGTTGTTTGGTGGGATAAACTTATTGATTAGAGGCAAAGGAAAGGGTCAGTCACAACTTGGCGAAGAATGAAATAATTAATGCTGGAGCAATTTTTACCGGAGGATTATGAACAAACTCTTTATAAGATGTATATCGAGTGTGTTCATGGAAAGAAAATAGTGACTGAATACACAGTTGAGTTCCTACATTTTTTTAGCATAATGAATTGAGAGAATTAGAGAGCCAGAAAGTGGCTCGATACATCAGTGGCCTAAAGGAATTTTTGTAGGAGAATATGAGTTTACATATTGTATGGACTGTAGTTAAGCCATCTAATCTAACTTTGAAGGCAAAATTACTAGAAAAATCCCTTCGAAATTTCTCATCTTTTCGGTATTCCCCCATAACAACTTTAAATCCGCAGGCAGCAAGGAAAATAGTTCAACAACAAAAAAATTTCAACCTTGAGAATAAGGGGACTAATAACCCTAATGATGTGTAGTAGGGTAAAGCACCAGTCCGGAGGCACAACAATCCATATGTTAAACTCATTGGAGACACATGTTATCTTTGTAATGGAAGATGTCACAAATCAATTATTTGTTCAACAAGGAGAGTCGTCGTTGTTGCAGAAGAAAGGGATGAAGATGAGGAAATAGAAGGACATACAGTTGAGAACTATGAATATGTAAGGATTGAGTTTGTAGAGGAAGAATTTGATGAGAGAGTAGATTTTGTATTGCAGAGAATTTTACTAGCATTCAAAGATGAAGGACAGCGCAAAAATTTGTTTAAAGCTCACTATTCTATCAAGAATAATGTGTGTAATCTGATTGTAGATAGTGGCAGCACGAAGAATTTGGTGTCGTGAAAATTGATAGATTATTTGAAGTTGTCTACAAAATTCCATGAGAAGCCATACACCCTCAATTAGATAAGCAAAGGTTCCCAAATTCGAATAACACTAATCTGCAGATATTCTATCTCCATAAAAAAACATTTTAATATTTTCCTTAATTTTTTATTTAATTTCTATTTTGGATTAAAAGTCTATTAGGGTTTATTTTTCTATTTTATTTTTGTTTTGAATTAAAAGTCCTTTAAAAATTTTTCGCTCCTCTATTTAAACACTTTTAGTGTGAGTCAAATATCATCTTTTGAAATAATAAAATTTTATTTTTTTCTATCTCATGGATTCCAGAATTTACTTGATAGATTTTACGTTTACAATCTTGTATTCTCGTTTCAAATTTATCGCTTGGTAACCTCTAATATTTTCAACTGCGTCAATATATATCAAAATTATAATTTTACCTTTCTCTGGATTTGAACCATTAAACTCTATCATAGGAGAAATATGTGATTTGACCTTTTAAAAAATTAAGAATTTGAAAAATACATATAGGAATATATGTGACGTGAAGGTGATGTGTGAGGAAGCACACTTATCCTCACACTTTTTATTTGATATGTTATAAATTGATATAAGTATACTAGTTTCTACTTTGCCATTACTTTGATGACAATTTCTATTATTTTCTAGAATGTTAGAATATTCTCTACTGTGCTACTGAAGAATAACAACATAAACTAAAAACTGAAAATTTGAACACCAGCCAACATTCACTATGTCATTTTCGGTTATTAATATTATCAGTCATAAAGCACTGCACAATTATTTTTATAACTAGCACAAAATTAACATAAATCCTCACCAACTATACTAAAGGTAACAATGCTTGAATCAAATCAAACTACTCCTCAACTCCATTAGCTTAGTTGGTTAATCATTTAACCTCTCATAACTATTCATAGCTTTCCGTATGGAAAATTAAAATGAAAAAAATTATTATCTTAGATCAAAAATTCTCATTTCATCATCATAGTATGATGCCAAGAATCTATTAAATAAAATCGACTACATGGATCAACTTGCACCATAATATTATTCAGAAGTTAACATGACTATTGTCATAAAGGAATTTACATGTATCTTATTGCACTTTTTAATCCCTACAAAGTTATTCTACAAACAATTTTAATCTTTATTATTAAGTTGAAATACCTTTTTATAGATAGACTGAATCTGAGATTGATTATTTTACTAGTCTGCTTGTGTTGAAACCTGCATAAAGTACCCGAGAATGACTAGAATCCTTTCAAAGCAACCGAACCGCGGCATGCTAAGAAGAACAAAGACATGATTTTGAGCCTACTTGTAAGCTATTCCATATACATGAGGATTTACAAATGTAGCATTTGATAAGAAAGCCATGTCTAGCTCAACACTTGAAAATCCAGCTTTTGATATACTGTCTCCTGTTTCCCTAGAAAGATGACACCCATCTGCAATTGTCTGTTGCAGCGGATCAAGAACTCTCTGGAAAAATCGGAGAAACGTTCCATCTGTATTGTATCACCATGAAAAAAAATCAAAATTAAGCTATTTATTACTCGGTTTAAAAAAGTTTTGTTTACGCACCTTTTGCAGCTACATGTTCCACGAACACATACACTCCACCAGGTCGCAACACCCTCGTCACTTCTGCATACATAGTGCAATTTCAAAGTCATATACTCCCTCTATTTCATAATAAGTGTCTCATTACTTTTTTTATGTCTCAAAATAAATGTCTTTTTAGAATATCAATATAACGTTTATTATTTTTTTCACTACTATATATATATTTATTAACTTTCACGCTTTTCAACTACTCCACTAACTATAATAAATAAAAGTGTTTTAGTAAATGATACTAATTTTATCATTAAAATCAACACATCTAATCATTTTCTTAAGAACCGCGCAGAGCTCAAATAAGACACTTATTATGAGACAGAGGAAATACATTATAAAACAAAACATCCACCCTAAACAAGGAAGCATGTATGGTGTCTGATCATTGAGTTCGGCTAATTGTGTCTACGCCTTCGACTGTGGAGCACTATAATACCTTTCTATTATTCAAACTTAGGATTTATAGAAAACAACTTGTGCTTAAATACTTCTCAGCTTCAGCGATCCCTACTTACTCAGTTACGAGTAAACTACGAGCAAAGTCGTCTCAAATTTTTGGAGGCTCTGTGTAGATTAGTCGCAAATTTAACCATGACAAAATAAATAGAGATCCTTTTTAACTACGATTTAACTGAGACAAACATTTTATGAAGCTCTGTTTTTCCAAGAGGTTTAATAGTGACAAATTTTAGATCTTGTGCGGTAACCCGCTTTACATGTCCACAAGATGGCCATGACTACAAGTCATACCCAACATTCTCATAAATTGCCAAGGTAAGCAAAAAATTTGAACAAAAACAGAAAGCTAAGGTTCCATCACCTTTAAGTGTCAGATCAACATCTTTAACAGAACACAATACAAGTGTTCCAACAACTGCATCGACGGAAGCGTCACTTAATGGTATAACCTCCCCAACCTAATTTAAGCAAAATTTAAAGATCAATTAACACATATTTGAGAATAACTTATATAGCTCATATAACTTATATAGCTTAAAAACCAGTGAGAATAAGAAACATTACATACAGCATGTATAAACTCGAAATTCGAGAGTGGAAATCCAGCCGATGTAGCAGAAGACCGAGCATACTTCTCCATCTCTGGATTAGGATCAATCCCAACAACCTGCACATTAGAATCACTTGCATAATAACTGAGGTTAGGACCAGTTCCAATGCCAATCTCCAGGATTTTGTTAGCCTTTTTCTCCTGCAAGATGCTGAAGATTTGAGACTTGTACTGACCAACCTTACAAGAAAATATTGCAAGCCTCACTTCAATGCAATGATGAGAAGAAACATAAAACCACCCAAAAAGAGAGTTAAGAGAACAATTTCAGGGACTAATTTAAAACAAAAAACACCCCATATTGATGAAAAGAATGAAGAATAAACCTCAGCTTCATAAGATTTAGTAAATGAATTAAGAACCCAAGCAAAGAACTTTTGATACCAATCAGGTTTAGGTGGGTGAAACTTGTTAACCAAAGCCTACAAAAAAAGAAAACATTTCCAGTGTCAGCAAAACTCAACTTGTGTGTATTAAATCAACACTGATAAAATAAAAACTTTTGAGATAAGCCATGAACAACTACTTATACACTCTAGTAAAAGCTAAAACATTTTAAATATATTAAGCGTGTGTTTGATTTTGCAGTGAAAAAAATTGATTATGAGTGAATTGATTCTTTAAAGTTGATTATGCTAAAAGTAAGTTGAAAGTAAAATAATTTATTTTTTGGATAAATTCTTGCAAAAATGATTTGAACCATAAATTTAAGTGTAAAAATCATCTTAAAGCTACAAATCTTAGTGCATGTTTGGTTTGACTTTTGGAAGGCCCAAAAGCAATTCTAGAGGAGTAGAATTGATTCTGGATTGATTTTGAGGTGTTTGGTTCTTCTAAAGCAGAATTAATTCTGCCTCTAGAATTGATTCTACTAAAAGCTATGATTTGTAACAAACTCAATTATGTCAACTGCCAATCTAAACACAGAGTAAGTTTGATTTAACTTTTGGAAGAGTTAAAAACAATTTTAAAAGTGTAGAATTGATTTTGGAATGATTTTAAGTTGTTTGATTGAATTAATTTTGTTTCCATAATAATTCTATATGAAACTAGAATTTATAGCTTTTAAATTTAAACACGATTTTAACATTCAACTCAATTTTGTATAAAGTTATCCAAACATAAATTTTTTTTATATTCAATTTACTTTAACTACACTCAAAATCAATTTTTTCACGGTAGAACCAAACACTTATTAGTTTCAAGTATAATCAATTTGAAAAAGCATAATCAATTCTTAAAAATCAATTCTAAAGAAAAGGAATTACTGTGTACTCAGAATCTGAATTTGTGGCTGTGGCAGACTGTGTGGCTGCTGTGAGTGTTGCAGTTGCAGCAGCTTCAATGAAGTGCCTTCTTCCACATAAGCATGGTTTGGTGGTGGTGGGTTCCAGCGAGTCATCAAACTCAGTGGTGGTGGTGGTGAGTTTGTTTGACTCGTCCGAGTTAACACGTTTTTTGGGCATGATAATAATATGAGAGTTGGTGTGGGTGTTTTTGATAATAGCTTTGGGTTTTGGGGTGAAGGAATGCAGTGATACTTTTGTACCAAGAATGGGAGAATTTATAAGATTCATTACAAGAGTTGTTATGATATTGAATTTGAAAGTTCAATGGGTTGGTATTTACTGTGCTTTGAATTGAAGACTACTATTTGTCTATTTGATTTTTCAGCCTCTGGTTTTTTAAACTTTAGAGAGACTCGTTTGACTGGAGCTCTTCATGATAAACTAATAATTTGTTTAGGATGATTAAGTTAAATTGATGACTTAAATCATGTAAAACAATTTTATTAAATTATCGATCCATCTTTTCAAATAACTATTATCGTTGCTCGACACACGAAACAATTATTCGTAAAGACTTGAGAGTGTACTTCTATCAAAATTTCTGATTTGTATTATGCATAATATTATCAGTTTTTGTGTTGGATCCATTTATATAAAATTTTATTCTGATTTTAAATAAGTCTCAATAATAGACGATGAAATTGTTTTCCTTGGTTGTCTCAAGACGGAATACCAAATTAAAAAAAAAAAAAAGACATTACATGAAGACACAAAGTTAAAATAAAATAAAAAGACATTACATGAAGACAAGTTTCATAATGTAGTATGATTATTTACTAGTGTTAGTTTAGACAAGAAAATATGACTTTATAAGTAAGGTAAAGATTGTCCCTATTTATAAACACAACACATGTTATATTTTTAAGTAACGTGAGATTAAATTCATCTCTCCATACCGCATTTAAGAAAGTCCAACACTAGATCTAGAATACGCTTTGATACCATCTTAAAATTTGAGTTGAATCTAATTTATCCATATAAAACCGACTTGTAAAATTAGAATTGCTCTCACTTGTAAAACAATACAAACCATATCTCTAAGTAATGTAGGACTAAATTCACCCCTTCATAACCAACACAATGAAGGTGTTAGAGAATGCAATTAAGGCAAGCCAAAGTTCCACAATTAAGGCGACCAGGAGCGGACCACACTATGCAATTGAATGAAGTGGTATTCTATTGTTTGGATAGTTTAAAATCAAATGGAGCGGACCGGAATCAATTCCATCACTTACCGTCATATTTCTTCCCCTCTGATTTGAAGAAAACGAAGAATTTGTCTTGTTCCGTCTTAGAACTTTTTAGACGATGGAATGAAATCTTCATTCCACTCCGTTTAAATCTCCGCTTTGTTAATTCATTTATGATATTCAAACTCAAATTGTAGTTTATACAGAAAACAAATAATTTGACAACTTGATTGTTTAGGGTGGTTTAAATACCACATTTTCATGATACAAATAGTAATTGATTTACTAAGAATGTGGTCAAGGATTTATGGAGACCTTTGATTTAAAAATCTCCAAGTTACTTGTGAATTAAGTATCTATTTGAAACTAGTATTATTTCCTTGGTAATGCTGTGCATAAAAAATGAAGCTGATGCTGGCTGTTTCTTTGCAGGGCATCCCAGCAAGTTCGTTGCATTTATTTAGTTTTCCAATCTTCAAAATATCATTTATTTGTCAACTAAATTCATTCAATTAGATGCACCAACATAAACATCATACTATAAACCATCCAATCTTATTTTAGATAATTCTATTTTGTAAAGCATGAAATGTTACAACTGGGCACAGTAGTTAAAGACCTCTCTCACTGTGCAATCCTAGCACATCATGAAATCCATGGCTACAACCGCTTCAAACTAGTTATTAGCACAACCAACTCTAATATGCATCATCATTTGCATCTAAATTCAGACAAGGAACCATCACTGTCAAAATGCAAACCAGTAGCTACTAATGGCAACTTTGATCTTGAGCAGCATCACTCTTATCACCGGCAACATCACCAGTAGCAACATCGTCAGTAGAACTTGGATCCTCAACGTCAACTGTCAAAGAAGAAATATACCACAAAACAGTTATGTTTTAACACAGACCTGAACTTTATAGAATACAAGAAATGGACCTGTCATTTGCACATACCTTCAGAACCATCTCCTGGAGCATAAGCTGAGCGCCTTGATCGAGCCTGCTGATGAGTTGGCTATACCAATGTAGGTAGGACCCCGAGACAGGGTACAGAAAACATAAAAAGCAATATCAGCAAAGAAATTAAAATTTCAAAGAAATGCATAGGAAAATGTTCATTTCAATTTATCATTTATTAGCCATGTAATATGTAATGGATCAGAAAATCACATTCCCTGTTCAGATCATATGTTTCCTAAAAATCCCAGGGTTGTCAAATATCAATATCGGACCACCAAAAAACCGATATGAGAAATATCGGATCGCATAGCAGGCAAATATCGAAAGCCACAAAGCGGTTAAAACAAAAATTAAAACTCAAAAAGTTGAAAATTTAAAATTGAAAATTTCAAATCCCATAATTAAAACAGAAAAACTACAACCAGAAATTTAAAAGGAATTAAAACTCAAAAACTTAAATAGTTCAAACTAATAACTAGTAGTTCTTCTAAGTCTAACCAATGATAAAAGATTTAACTATTCTCCTTTTCCCCTTCCCCAATATAATCATTATTCTCCTTCCAGATAGTTAGGCATATCCTTCAGCTTCTTCAATTGAATCATCTGAACTATTTGGTAGAACTCATTAAAGCTTGATAGATAGTTCAATTTATTGTGGTATTCTTGTAGATTTTCTTATTTGAGCTTACTTATTGATATAAAACACTTGTGAAACTATTTGGTAGAACTCATGAAAATAACTTATACATAAAGATTTATATGATAAACACTTACGCTATAAGCGCTCATTTTAGTTGCTTATCCAAACAGAGCCAATTATTTATATGGACACGAGAGTGAAAAAGTCTATTAATAATTTTACCTGCAGTTTTGGACGGAGTGCTTCAAGTGGTCCTTTAGGCTTTTGTGCTCCTTGCTATATCAGTAATCATCATATAGAGATAAGACAAAGATGTCAGGCATCCAAATGAAACATGTTGAAGGTTACATTGAAAATTTTAACAGCATAATGATAAAGAGATGCTTCTAAGAACAGAAAATACCTTCCCCAAAGCCCAATCAGCAGAATCAAAATAAGCACGTTCATGATCCTACCAAAAAATGAATTTATTCATGACCAAAAGTCAGTTCAAAAGTACATTTCACACAAACACATATACTGCAAATGATATAGTAATACAGGAAATGAAATGTTGAAGAAGCAACAGATAAGGAAAAAAAACCTTGGATATTAGTGGAGGCTTCTTTGGCAATCTCCCTCCATACTTTTTCTTTACAGCGTCTTCCTGCAGGAATAGGTTTGCAGCATATGATATATCAAAGCATAATAACATAATGATAGAAACTCAAAATTTAGATAAACGGAAAATGTACTATTGATTGAAATTAAAACTATTACAGAGGAATCCTTATAATCCCAGAGCAAAGTGCCCTCAGAGGAGAGATATTTTCACTCTGCCCAACCCAAAAGGTTTCTATCTGAAAATAGACATTATGAATTCTCCCTTGCTATCAGTGTCATTATATAACTACGCTTTCCCCTTCTGACATAAACAGTTATAAATGATTCTCTTTTAGATCTTTCTATTGGGCTAAGGCCTAAAACCAGTAACCTATCCTATCACTACGGACCGCTAGAAAAATAGCCTTGTCCTCAAGGATGAGATAAGAAAAATAACTCGAATAAATTTGATCTTTTCTAGCTACTTGTGTATCCCTGTCATGAGCAGTTTGCAAGTCACCGTAGACTTGTGCAATGAACAATTTCAACAAAGACAGATACTGTTACAATGGATGGACAGTAAGGGAGTAACTTGGACAATAGGCAAGTGCCATTGCAATACAAACTCTCAAAGCTTGAAAGAAACCTATGAAGCTTGATTTTCTCTTGTACCCACTACTTGAATTTTGATTTGCTTTGAAACAAAGAGACTGAGTTGAGATGATATTGTTCCCAAACAGAAGAAGGATAGCCGTTGCGGATTCTAGAGGGCCCGTACCTTGTAAATCACCGTCTGGCAGTTCTGGTGGTGGTGGGATCGTTGTCGGGTATCTCACAAATATACATGGGCGTGATTCAAACGGAACCATCACTGGTGGAGCCGAGATCAGCAACTCCGGCAAAGGTCGATCCGGCGGCTCCGGGGGAGGTTGTGGCTCTTCCACTAGATCCATATCCGTGTCCAATTTTTCTTCCTCTTTTAGCCTAGTTGTATCTGCAGATATGAACTTCCATTGTGCTTCGTCCGCAGTCTTCTCTAGTACTGACCTTTGGACGATGAACAGAGGTAACACGCACCAAGGAAGATCCACCATAAATGGAACACTGTTATGCGGTTTCAATTTGAGAAGGATCGTTGGGAGTGGATTTGATAGCGGCATACTCAACAAAAGTTGCAAGTTGTGCATGACTTGTTCCTCCCATCTGTTGTCCGGTTTCTTGATCTGTTTCTTCTCCTCCTCCGCATCTTCCTTTTCCGGTATCACCTCTGTTTAGAACTCAGTTTTCCGATGGTTCTTTAACACATGTTATCGGCAACACATCCCAACCAAAACCAATGTTTTCTGTGGGAACATGCCCCAAATGCTTCGCCATATCCGCCTTCAGCAATTGACGAAACTCTGACGCAAAGGATTGGATATATTCTTCCAATCTTCCCATTCTTGTTTCTATCGCGTCAATTCTCACAGTCATTCCTGCTTCTAACACTTCTTCTTCTTCAATTATCTTGAATGAAATGAATGTTGGTTCCCCCTCGAGAATCCGGCAGTTTCCGATAGTTAATCGGAAGTTTCCGACAATTATCCAGCAGTTTCCGACACTTAGCTGGAAGTTATTTGGCAGTTTCCGACACTTTTCTGGGAGTTCTGGCAGTTTCCGGAAGTTAATTATCCAGCAGTTTCGGGCAACTATACGACAGTTATTCGGTAGTTTCAGGCAGTTACACAACATTGGCAATTCACTGGCTCCGTCTCGAGATCCGGGCAGGTTGGACCAATGATAGAAACTTAAAATTTAGATAAACAGAAAATGTACTATTCATTGAAACTAAAACTATTACAGAGAGGAATGCCTATAATCCCAGAGCAAAGTGCTCCTCAAAGGAGAGATATTCTCACTCTATCCAACTCAAAAAGTTTCTATCCGAAAATAGACATTATGAATTCTCCCTTGCTATCGGTGTCATTATATAACTACCCTTTCCCCTTCTAACATAAACAGTTATAACTGATTCTCTATTAGGGTTTTCTATTGGACTAAGGCCTAAAACCAGTATCCTATCACATAATGTGAGGTTTAATGCCAAGAATAACCATAAATGAGGTAAGAAGCCCTTTATAACATCTCCCCAATGCTTGAGGAGTGATTTCAGTAACATCCACGCTTACAAAACTTAGAAAGTAAGAAAAAAATTTAAGGATCGGTTTGAAATTTCAAATTCTGTTAAAGAACCCGATGAATTTTTCCCTAAATAGTCAGTAAGGTTTGGACAAGATTTAAAAACACAACCTGGGTTGTCTGGAGTTAACAAATTTGAATTAAAATTTGAGTTGTCCGATCTTGATCTTGCCCACAGATATGCTGATTTTTTTTTTAAAATTTGGTATCCAGTCTTGCAATCTATGGCTTTGTATGAACTGTCCCAGCACAAGAATTATTAGTACCTAACAGAATTCAAATCTGGGACCTTGAGAGGAGCATATGCTCTCAAGACCAAGCCTTCACCACATAGATATGTTGAAAGCCTTGGTGCGCAGTCTCTAAAAACACTACCATAGACCTACCTTTTATATCAATATCAATGAACTTAATATATTTCTTTGGTTGGTTCAGATATATTGATTATTCAATGAAACAGTAAATTTTCTATGATAAATAGGACATTGGACCAAAGGGACTAATACATACCAGAACACAGACAGGACAACTATAAATCATTCATATTTTATTCTTTAATCATAGCTTTTAAACATAACTTAAAAAGTTCATCTTTTTCTAATCCAATAACATAAAGAACAAGCACCCCCAAGAACATTCTCAAACTTTAATAAAAAAACAAAAAAAACTCATCTTGAAACAACAACGATGGAGCAAAAACAATTACCTCTTGTTGAGAAGTGGGCATTGAGTTTTCATTATTTGCATCTTTCTCAGAAGCTTTGAGATCATCCTCAGAATTATTATTATTATTATTATTACTATTATTATCACAGTGAACTTGATTGTTCACATCCTCATCAATATTATTAGCATCTGACATTGCTTAATCTCCCTCCCTTTCTACATAAATACCCAAAAATCAATTGTAAGATTAAAAAACAAGAGTATTTCAATGATGATAAAACACGGATCAATCAATTGAATTGAGTATGATGAAATGAAACGTAATTAAGGATGAAGAAATTGTGTATCGTTACCGTAATGGGAGAAACAGAGGTTTGAAATTGGCGATCTTGGGTTGAGTGAAAGGAGAAGATAAAAGTTAGAGATTGCTATGTGATGAGCATCTCGAACTGCGTTGCGACAAAGTCACGGTATATATAGGAACTAGAACATACTAAAACACTACAATCATCCATTTTATTAAATAAAATATATTTGGATCTTGCAACATGTTGCAATTTGCAAATGAAGTCGCCAATGATGAAATTCTAGCCACTAGCTATTTGACAAAAAAAATTATTTTATTTTATTTTATTTAATCTTTTAATTTTTCTTTCATCTATGCAAAAGACTTTTTAGTCTTTTGTTTTCGCCACTTCCACACCACCGTCGTCGGTCAAGCCATTGGATAGAGGCACACCTAAACCTCCTAGATTGTCATTTTGGATATTTTTATTGAAGATCAATGAATTACTATTCTATAAGAGATAATGGACTTAATTGAAAAGGGACTTATGAAAGTCTCTTTTAAAGAAGGAAACCAACGCTACCTAAAATCGCGATGGGTAATAAACTTTTTCAAGAACTGTATTAGTCATTAAATTCAATGGCTGTCATTTGACGAAGGATAGATTAAAGAAGATGTGAAAACTTACCTGAGGTTTTGAGATCATGGACGTTGACAATGATTTCTTTATGGTCAAGTGTGAACTGGTCTCAGATAGAGAGAAAATTATGTCAGAAGGCATGTGGATGTTGCTTGACCATTATTTGACATTGGCTCGATGAACTCAAAACTTTGTATCTCCTATTGCAAAAGTGGAGGAGACTTTGGTTTGGATTCGATTTCTAAGGCTTAACTTATTGTATTACGATGAAAATGTCCTTCTTGGTTTAGCATCTGTTATGGATACTCTTGTTAAGGTAGATATTAATACCTTGAACATAGATAGGGGACGAGTTGCGAGAGTTTGCGTGGAAATTAATCTGACCTTCCAGTTGTTGGAAAGGTCAATGTTAATGGCCACTGGTACAATGTGCAATGTAACACCCAGTATAATATAAATCTATAAAATACAATATATACGATATTAATTGACACTGATACAACATAAGTGCCTAACTACATCATTTACATACATGTCCAAAATACAAAATACAATATATGGTACAAGATAAAGAAAAGTGCCTATACAAAAATCTAAGACCTATGTACAATATCTATATTGCACAAATCCATAGCAGAAGCCCAAGATAACAAAAGTCTTTGAAACATCATCGACAAGCTTCCTCTTGCCTTAAACCTGCAAACAACTACCTCAAAACAATAATTATAATGGCGTGAGATAATAATCTCAGTGAGTTCCTCTATCTTATGGGTCCACTCAACTCTAAAGGAGATTTATTATTGATTTCTAACTTAAGTTTTCATCTTTCGTTACTCGGGTGTCACTCACACAACACAAGTATAGAAATATGTAACTTTAGATGTCATAACTGAATAAAATTACTATTCAGAAACATGAAACATCGATTCCCGACCAGACCTACATCTAGGGCAAGGCTCGGTTCACGCATGCTCGTATGGTTCACTTTCATGTGGATTCGGGTTCTCCATGGTGTAACACCTAGAGTTTAGAATTAATTATTTAATTAATTATTTGTTAATTATTGGTGATTGTCTGTGTGATGTGTGTGATGTGTTGTGGGGTAGTGGTGGACTAAGGTGCTAATTAGAATAATGTAGATTTAAATGATTTAGTTTATATTATTTAGATTTAAATGATTTAGTTTATATTATTTAGATTTAAATAATAATTAGATAGTATATTAAGGTGAAAAGGAGAATAAGGGTATAGTGGTAAATGTGTGAGATAAGTAAGGGCATAAGAGGAAAACCATATAAAAGGGTCCTAGGGATAAAAAGAGAAAATAAGAGCAATAAAGATCATTCTGTATGATCGTGGAATTTGGAAGAACGAGAAGAAGAGCTAGGGCATAAAGAGAAGGAGAAGAGATTCGTTTCTTAGAGTTCGAAGAGATCAAATCGCTAGGAATTTTAGGTAAGATGTGTAATCTTGGTTCATTATCATTGATAGGTGGTTAATATAGATGTAGTGTTTTGCTTGTATGATGATTTGGTGAAAAACATGATGAATCACATGATGAAATTTGTATAGATGATGAAATATAAATGCCATGATTTGATCTTATAATGTGCATATGATGTGTTTTGATGTTGCTATGTGATATGTTAGATTTCTAATGTGTTTTAGACTGAGTTTGGTACTGAATTGGAATTGGATTGAGGCTGGAACTAACGCAAAATTGTAATTGGAAGTCGTAGAAGTTGCGGGTCTCGCTAGGCGAGCCAGTTGGCGAGCGAGATGGTGGAATATGAGAGCTCCTGGAAAATGTATAGGGAGGGGCTTGTCGCTCTAGAATCGTCAGGAGAGCGAGGCAACGATGAACCCAATCGCGTCTTTCATCGGGCGAGCATCTGGTGTGGGGAATGCGAGTAGAGTGCTTTCAGGGCCGCTGGGTGAGGCTTAGGCAAGCAGATTGTCAGAAAACTTCAAAGTGTCGTAACTTGATTTTTAAGACTCTGTTTGACGAGTTGTTTAAAGTGTTAGGAAGCTAACACACATAACTATATTAGGAAAAAATTATATAAGTTGTTAGATGCATGATTCCAATACCTATATGTTTATAAGATTAAATTATTATATGTTTTATATATGCTAATATGTTTTATTCTAATGATGAATTTGATGATGTTGTAAAGTTGCTATGATGTTGTTGTTATGATGTATTTGATGATATTTGTGATGATGTGTTAATTATGTGCATGTTTAATATGTTTATATGATATGTGATGATGATTATATGAATGATGATGTCATTGATTATCCATGCTCAAACTTTATATGATGTTGTTGTGCATCATACATTCATAACATTTTTGGACGGTGGTCTGCATGTGACGAGCTTCAATCCCATTGTGCAGATTGAGTGCGTTTCTGATGTGCTCTGGTTCCAAGAGGAAATCGATCCTATGATTGGGATCATGGAGAGTGATGAACCAGGTGTTCATAAATTTTGGTACCACATGCAGTGAGTCAGTATTGTTGCATTAACATCTTATGTGACATGGCATAAACTTTGTTGATTAGTTGTGATGTGATGATAGTTGTGAAATTTGTGATTATATGATGATTTGGTGATGCAAGATGCCTAAGTTTTATTATATGTATTCAGTGAGTATGAATTATTGATGAATGATATGTGTTGTTATATGATGAAGTTGTTTATAACTACTAAACTTTTCCTTATATCTTTTATAATGAATCATGATTACTCACCCTTTTTGTTTGAATGTTGCCTCCACGTGGGTAACACGCAGATACCCAATAATAGCTTGTTGAAGTATCAAGGATAGATATTTGGAGTATTTTATTTAGTTTTTCGTTAATTAGAAGGTGTCTTGCTCCGATATGTAACATTGGGTTGGGAACACTTGAGTTTAATGTTATGTTCCTTTTGTTGACATACTTTATGAAAGCTTTTTGATTGTTAAATTGGTTTTAATTACAACCTTTGATGAGGAAAAAATACAAAGAGTTTTAATTTATGAAGGAGTTATTTTATGACGATGATTCCACTACAATGTTAATAATTTAAATGATGTGTTTAATTATAAAGATATTAATGTTAATGATGTAACCCATGTTACGGAGCAAGACTATTAATATGATGTTTTCTGTGAAATATGACACCCTTGAGTGGTGAATTTTTATTTTAATTATTCCGTAAATTATATGAGAAATACATGTGGAGTTAGAAGGGTGTTACATTAATGGTATCAGAGCAGGTCGGTTTGTCTGATCAGATTTTTATACGATGTCTATGTCTTGGTGGTCGATTGGTTTGTAAACCCAATCGATGTTTTGTTCCTCTATTGATGTTTGCCTATATGTAAAGAGAAATAGTTGGAGGAATAAATGATGATGCAATTGATGAGGCCTTAGAGTAGTTGGATCGGGAAATGGCCCAGAATCAGTAGATTCCCCAGAATGCTGGAGGGAATGATGAGTTTTATGCTTTAGAAAATTTTCAGCTAAACAACCCGTCGATCTTTAAGGGCACACATGATCTTGATGGTGCACATGTGTGGCTCAAAAATATCGAGAAGATCTTCATAGTAATGGCTTACTCAGAGGAGAAGAAGGCGCAGTTTGGCACCCACATGTTGGAAGTGGAGGCTGAAGACTGGTGGGATAACACACATCATAGGATGGAGATTTTGGGTGTTGAGATCACTTAGGCTGTTTTCAGAGCTGTATTTTTGGAGAAGTATTTTGCTGAAGATGTGTGTGGCAAGAAGGAGATTGAATTTCTTGAGCTGAAATAAGAGACTTCAACTATTACTGAGTGTGCTACCAGGTTTAAAGAGTTGGTGAAGTTTTGTCTGCATTATAATAATTCGGAAGCTAAGGCATCTAAGTGTATCAAATTTGAGCATGGGTTGCGTCTTGAGATTAAGTAGGGAATTGGATATCAGGAGATTTACTAGTTTCCTATTCAGGTGAATAAGTGCATGATCTATGATCAGGATACCATAGCCAAATCTTCTTTCTATAAGAGTTACAATGAGAAGAAGGGGAAGAACCAGGGTCATGGTAAGATGTATAATGCTCCTGCTGACAAGGGGAAGCAACAAGTTTTTTATGAGAAGAATCCAAGTGAGGGAGTAGCGCCACTTCTGTCAAGTGTTTTGACTGTTGCGAGCAAAGCCACCATGATGATAGTTGCAACAATAAGGTGTTGAGATGTTACAAATGTGGTATGATAGGTCATCATGCTTCTGAGTGCAAGAAT